CTGATGGCTGTTTACTACTCACAGAGGGCTGAGTGATACTAGCAATCACAGCATTGTAAGAGGGGGACAGTTGAACCTGGAGGCCTCCACCCCTGTTTAATGATGGACGATTTCTTTTCACAAAGATGGCCTCCTTTACTCCTCTCTCAAACCATCGTTCCTCTCTGTCCAGGATGTGAACATCTTCATCCTTGAAAGAGTGACCGCTGGCCTGGAGATGAGTGTAGACCGCAGAATCCTGGCCTGATGATGTTGATCTTCTGTGCTGGTCCATCCTTTTGGCCAGTGGCTGTTTTGTTTCCCCGATGTAAGACTGATCACAGCCCTCCTGGCACTGAACAGCATACACAACATTGCTCTGTTTGTGCCGGGGAACTGGATCTTTGGGATGAACCAGTCTTTGCCGTAATGTATTTTGGGGTTTAAAAGCCACTGGGACGTTATGTTTAGAAAATAAACGTCTCAGTTTCTCTGATACCCCCTCAACATATGGAATGACCACTGGTCTGGGTGTGGGTTCCTCCTTTTCACCTGATGGCTGACTGGAGTCCTGTTTGGGTTTCTTCTCTGCTTTCAGGAAGGCCCAGTTAGGATATCAACATTGCTCTAGAGCCTGTTTTGTGTAGGATTTCTCCTTCTGCCTGGCTCCTGAGTTAGTGGGGACGCTGTCTGCTCTGTGATACAGAGTCCTGATGACTCCTAACTTGTGCTCCAAAGGGTGATGGGAGTCAAACTTCAAATACTGGTCTGTGTGGGTGGGTTTGCGGTACACCTCGGTTTGCAAATGTCCTCTATCAGAGACTGAGACCTCACAGTCCAAGAAAGCCAACCTGCCATTTTTTACATCTTCTCGTGTGAACTTGATGTATTTATCCACAGAGTTGATGTGGTCAGTAAAATGCATACTGCATAATTGCATACTTGTGTTCTTCTTGTGTTCTTCTTTTCATAAATCCAGTCTTTTCTTTTGCCTTAAAATAAAAACATATCAATAATAATAATAATAAAAAACACTGGCCTGGAAATCCCCCTCCAACAGGCTTGAAGTGGGCTATGGGCCACCAGTTGATAATCACAATTTTAGCAGGTTTTGCAGCTCCATAGATGTTTTATTTAGTGTGTAAAGGGGCAGAAATGGCTCTTTTGATCATGAAGGTTGCAGACCTCTGATTTAGAAGCTTTTACCAAAACTGTTGTTTTGATACCTGATTTGTTTCCTCAGTAAAAAAAATATATATATATTTAAAAGCTTTGGCATAAAAAAAAATCCATTTCTTCATAGACTACACGGCCTTTAATTCCGTTTTTTTGTTATCAGCTTAATTGAATTCTGTAAAAACAAAAACAAAACAAAAAAGAAGAAAAACTAATAAAAATTCAACCTTTTGCATTTTTGTTGATGAGACTGTGAGGAAAAACTCAGTTTTATTGTGTTTTTGGTGACATTTGATGGGAACCTTTATTTGACCTTTTGTTCCACATGCAGGCTGCACCACTGACATCATGACAAGTGACCACTCCCCGGTGTTTGCTTCATTTGAGGTCGGAGTTGCATCACAGTTCGTCTCCAAGCAAGGTATGACAACCAGTCACCTTCAGGCAGACAAAAAGCACTTCAAACTGCAGTCTGATGTCTGTTTTTAATTGGACAGATCCCAACAGTGCTCCTCAGGGTGGAATACAGATCATGAACTGTGTGGCCATCTTGTTGACCAAATCCAAGACCAAGTTCTGCATTGAGTTCCATTCCAGCTGCTTGGAGAGTAGGTTTTTGTCTTTCTTACAAAGCACACGTCACTGGATTCTTGTTTGAATGAACGAAGGTGACAAATTCTTCCAACAGAAAGGGTGAAGACTGCAGAAGGGGAGAACACGGAACAATCCGATGGATCAATAAAAGTTTGGTTTGGAACCCAAGTCGAGGTAAAAATAAATAAATAAACAGGATTTCACAATAATAGATGTTCTAGGTATTCAACTTTATGTCTTTTTCCAAGCTTACCCCCATCATTTCTGACCCGGAGTACCTCTTGGATCAGCACATCCTCATCTGTGTGAAATCGACTGACTGCGATGAGTCGTACGGTAAAGAGCTCATGCACTCCTTGTACTGTTTAGTCTGAGTGACGCTTACAATCATCTCGTATGTGGTTCTGAAAGGAGCGGGTTGCATTGCGCTTCGAGCGGCCCAGTTCTGCTACAGTGAATTTCAGATCACTCTGACTCACCACGGAGAGAACACCGGCATTCTGACCGGGGGCATACAGCTACGCACCTCTGAGTTCAAGCCCACCGAAAAGTTATACGGTGAGGCTGCAGATCAGCTCAGGACTAACCTCTTAAGCAGCTTCTCAGTTCTTTAAACAGCTTTTCCTATTTTACTCCATTTTCAGATTTCATCAAAATTGAAAGGGACGATGCTTTTCCCTCCAAAGGCAAAAGTGGAGAACTTAACAAGTATGATTTTCTTTTTGCATTGTCATAAAATATCTCTTGAACTGAATCTCCAAATACTATGATTTGTCTGTCTTCTGGTCTGCAGGTCTCCAGTTACACAGTCATATGATATATCTAACCCTAATTACATGGGAGTGTCATTCAAAGGTGGAAATGTGGCCGACAAGGGCTGGAGCTACAGCATGCCACCACGAAACACTCCCACTGTCGGACCATTGAGTAAAGACCATAAGAAAGCAGGGTATGATTTGAACGCACGCAGTCCCACAGCAGCGACTTATCCTGGGTAAGTGACAGATTCTAATACACTGACACTGGCTGCAAAAATATTCACCCCCTTGGTTTTCTCTCTTGACACTTCACAACCTAGAATTTCAATGTGGTATTGATTTAATTAGGGACATACACAAAATGCATAGACAAAAAAATATAACAAAATCAAGTGTGGAAAAATATAGTTTCAAAGAATTAGAAAAATATACATTTTGTGCTAGCCCATGTTTTCACCCCACTTGGTTTAAAGCCCCAACAATAACTATCAAAGTTAAGATTCACCTGTGGGCAGTGGAAGTGTCACACAAACCTGCTCTGATAGCTCTCACATAAGTGCAACACCTTCAGTGAGTAAGCAAGAGACAACATGAAGGCCAAGGAACTCTCCACACAGGTCAGAAGCAAAGCTGTGGAGAAGTACAGATCATTGTGTACTAAGATTCATAACTGGCTGTGATTATCGTACCCACCACTGCACCCTGTATTCACTGGTTAACTGGACATCATTAACTTCACGCAGACTCTCTCACTGGTACATTTTCATTTTTAAATCACTTCTTGGTCTGCTGCCTTCATACATCTCCTCCTACATGTCTCTGCGTGAGTGCAGCTACAGCGTGCGCTCTCAGGACATTATTACCTGCAGTGTTCCCTCAGTGAGGACTGAACTAGGCAAAAGGGCCTTCTCCTACTCCGCTCCTGTTTCCTGGAATATCTTACAAAAAGATTTGAAGCTCCTTGACCTCTCTAAGTGGATTTAAGAATCTGTTGGACTCCTGGCAGGGACCAATGCAGACATGTTCCTGTTTTGAGTTTTCTACATTTGCCTTAGAATCTAGCTGTTTTTTGTTACTTTTCTTTTTTTTAGACATCCTATTTGTAAAAAAAAATAAAAATAAATTGTATGCCTTTTTATAACTGTCTATTGTTGTTGCTGGTGTCCTCTGTTGTCATCTTTCTTTATTGAAATCAGGTCTCTCTTGTAAATGAGTCCTTGAGGCTCAGTGGGATCTAACTGTTTAAATAAAGGTTGAATGAAAAAGGGTTGGTCTTAAACCTGAACATTAAACAGAAAACCATTGAATCTACTGTATTATTAGGGAATGGAAACATTATTCAACCAATCTGCCAAAAGAGGGTTATCCACCAAAACTCACAGGCCAGGTAAAGAAGTCTTCAACCAGAGATGGTTTAGAAATAAATTAAAAAAACTCCTCAAATTTGTGGGGAAAAAAGGACAGCGTCATAGCTGGAATGATTTGAACACCTCTCATCATGCTGAGAATACCATCACCGCAATGAAGCATGGTGGCGACAGTATATTGATGTGGGGATGTGTTACATCAAGCTGGTGTTGAAAGAAAGCTGGATGGGACAAAGCACTGAGAGATTCTTGAGGGAAACATGTCAGAGTCAGAGTTTCATGTGGTGAACGACAATATGTAAATAGGGTCCCAGTTACATCCGGCAATAAAATGTAAAAGAAAAACAGTAATAAGATCTAATAGATGAACTAAGAAAAACAGCAGCTAAAAATACGCTAAACACTAATAGACAATAAAAACAATACATCAAACAGCAGGACGAACATGAGTCTGTGTGAGCAGATGAGCACAAATGAACACAGCAACATGAAACAAATCAGCAGCAACATGAAACAAATCAGCAGCA